TGTAAACTGTGTTATAGTTTTCTAACCATAATTGTTTTTTTAAATTATGGTTAGAAAACTAGGGATGAAAAAAAACTGTAAACTGTGTTATAGTTTTCTAACCATAATTGTTTTTTTAAATTATGGTTAGAAAACTAGGGATGAAAAAAAACTGTAAACTGTGTTATAGTTTTCTAACCATAATTGTTTTTTTAAATTATGGTTAGAAAACTATAACGCAGTTTACAGGGATGAACTGGTCACTTATTTTAGACACGGTTCCTCCCTTATTTTCCTAGCATAGTTGTCATTAATAGATTTTTTGGTAGTAATTTAATTCGTATTTAAAATGCATCTACTTTCCTTGAACATACAGGTCATGCTTGGACATAAGGTCATACGGGTCATGCTTGGACATACAGGTTATACGAGTCATGCTTAGACATAAGGTCATACTTGGACATAAAGGTCATAGAGGTCATTCTTGGACATACGGGTCATGCTTGTACATACAGGTCATATGAGTCATGCTTAGACATAAGGTCATACGGGGTCATGCTTGAACCTAAAGGCCATAGAGGTCATTCTTGGACATACGGGTCATGCTTGTACATACAGGTCATATGAGTCATGCTTGGAATGATGAAGAGAATCTTATGTTCATAAGTAAGACTTATTGTAGCATTTTATTTTGATATACTAAATATATCAATACTATAAACGCATGTAATTGTACAAATTATATCATACAAAACTATACATGAACACACAATTTCCCCCTTCATGTTAAACGTTTTTACTGCATCAGTTAAATAGATACTCAGTGTTTTAGTAGTAACTACTATTAATTCAGTGTACCTTTATTAGTGTCTATATCGTACAATATAGTTATTAACATTCGTATTCATAAGTTGTTATTGGTAACTATGGAATTTCTGCTAAATCATTATTGATTTTTAATTCTATGTTACATAATATCTATTATATAAAACTTTATATATGTGTGTGTGTGTGTGCTCAGCGTTTCTTTATTGTTCTGAATAATCGGTTTATACTTTGTTTGAATGACAATTTTCGAAATACTGCATTGATCCCCCATAGCGTGTCTTTATTGTCAGTACCAGTTGAGTTGTAATGGTTCGTCATGACTTTGGAAGAAGCCAAACTGTGACGTCAACTGGATCAAGCTCTTCTCTATTAGCTTTTCAAAGTCAATGAGCTTACGATGTCGCCCGTTTTCAAATACAATTGAAGAAACCATGACAACAATATCCTGTTGATGATGCTTGACAGATATCTTTGAAATAAATATTGTTTTGACGTCAGTCTCATCTTACTCTGTCTGAAGAAATAGATGCTTAGATTTTACCTTACGAAAGCAATCGTGACACAGTTTCTATTTTTAGTAATCATCCAGGAATATTCACTGAAGTATATTCTCATATTAATTATAATAGTTGATCTTCAAGTGATTCCATCCCCCATCCAATAAACTTTTTTTTTCTCCTACAATAAACTCATTTGACAAAATGTCTTGGTGTTGGAGGGAAACCGTTGTTCACACTTTATTACAGTAGGTCTCAATATGTAATGTCCTCCAATCATAAGATTCCAAAAATCAGAGCTCGTGGTTACACCATTCACAACAGTGTCATCAAGAACTCCATCTGAATGAACTTTGCACCCCTTCTCAGAGGAAAACCTAGACAATTATTACAACCTGCTTTTCCACAAATGCCGTTCAAATTAGGGTTTAAACCCGAGTTTCGTCTGAATGGAGTTTAGTGCTAAAGAGAGTATTTCTACTCTTCAATGCTTGCATCATTGTATTTCTTTTTGCTGTGAAAGAAGCTAGATGGGATCGAAGGCTTATTATCTTTCAACAAATAATACCTCAACTTGAAATTACCTGGACTTAACAAAATTGTGCCTTGCCTGGACTTAACAAAATTGTGCCTTGCATGGATTAACAAAACTGTGCCTTGCATGGATTTAACAAAATTGTGCCTTGCCTGGACTTAACAAAATTGTGCCTTGCATGGATTAACAAAACTGTGCCATGCATGGATTTGAATGCTGAAAATATGGGTCATTACTTTTCTATTTTTCGTATCACAGAACCACTTTGGTATATATATTTTTACTTTCATGCCCCTAACGGCACAGCGGTAATTCTGAAGGGCTTATAGCGCTAAAAAACGTGTTTCGATACCGTGGTGGGCACAGTACAGATAGTCCACTGTGTACCTTTGTGCTTAACTACAAACAAACAAAATTACTTTAATAGTTTTATACCTCTTAGTTTCAACAATAACTTGAAACTTTAAAGAACATTCTACAATGGACTGAATCTCTCCTTTCACTCACCAAGGCACAATTTTGTTAAGTCCAGGCAAGGCACAGACTTGTTAAATCCATGCAAAGCACAATTTTCTTAAATCCATGCAAGGAACAAGTTTGTTAAATCCATGCAAGGCACAATTTTGCTTGAATGCTTAGTATTTAAATAATTTGAAATATTTACAAACAATAAAAGTATCATCAACGTTTGTAGGGCATTGTTTAATACAGTTCTGTTCATGATAACAGATAAGTAAATTAAGTAAGCCTTGAACTCCTACCAACACCATAAACCTGGTCATAAATTATTGTATTAGAAACTAAATGTGATTTCTTAGTGGAGAATGGCAAAAGTTTAATAATCACAAATTTAGTTAACTACCTTAACATATTCATGTTCATGGAAAACAAGATTAGAACATAACTGAACTAATTCAGTTAAACGAATGGTTCTTTGCAAATATTTCAATATTAAGAATAGCACACATTCTCATCAAATTTTAATTATTTCTAACTGTTTCACGGATAAAAAAAAACTAGTTAGTAAAAAATTACAGTTAAAAACTGCAAGTTACGTGTCTCAGAAAATCAGTCAAATTATTAAAAGTTGGTGACAATTACGTACAAATATTTGATAAACTGGATTTTTATTGGACACTTACTAATTTCATTCAAAACACCATACTGTGAACCCAGTAGACGAACCTGATTACAATCTTCTTGGGAAATTAATTTATCATTTTTATTCTTCAACAAATATCCCTGTAGTTTACTCTTCGGTGGATTAATCAGATCAGAATCTAAAACTCTGAACTTAGTACTTTCCGGAAAACGCCAAGATTTTTTTAACACAATTATCTTCTTTGTTTTAAGCATTCTCTTTATGTGGCCAGATTTTATAAGAAACTCTTCATGAAGCTTCAAAGTCTTTTCTCAAAAACCCTGCCATCTAGTGAGTAAATGTGACGAGATAATAATCCTATTTAAAATAAGCAAGGATGTGATTACACGCTGGTTATACAACGCACAGTAATTCAAGGATAAATTCGATTTCGACCCAAAACTGTTTGTTTGTTTGTTGAATTTCGAGCACAGCCACACAAGAACTATCTGTACCAGCCGTCCCTAATTTTGAAGTGAAAGACTAGAGGGAAGGCAGCTAGTCAACACCACCCACCGACAGCTCTTTAAACAACGAGTAAGTGGATTGACTGTCACATTATAACGCCCCCACAACTAAAAGGGCGAGCATTTTGTGAGCAGACTGAATCGAGCGAAAACAGTTGGTACGTGGATGTAATATGCTGAAATACAGGTGTGACGATTTGTTTTCGGTAAAACGAAAGGAGTTAAGACAAGGTATTGAAGTCGGAACAAAATAAAACATTTAGATGAACAATTAAGGTAATGAGTGCAGATGAAATAAAATAAAAACACGTAGCAGGCTGAAGAATACAATAAAACAAAGGCAGGACTTCCATGGCATATTTTGACTTTCATAGACTAAGGGACACGAACTATCATCCACAACTGTCACAGAGAATCTGACCAATCAGGAAACAGGTACTGAAATGCCAGAATATATCTGCTCCATGTAACAGTTGTGTGATAATGTTTTATAAACAAGATAAAATAAAAATACAATACAACTATTCAATGCATGAGTTTTGTGCACGTGTCAAAATATT